GTATGTGTGAACGGCAGTACAACCATATTTGGCATTATATCTGTCATATTATCGCCGATAATCTTCTCAAGTTTGTCCATATCAATTCCATCTGCGATGGTACCCAAGATTGACTTTACAAACGCCCGAAATCGCTTCGGCTGGGAGCCTTCTGTGGTTGACGGTGGCATTATCTCATCAATTTGTTGCTTGGCATCAGTTACGAGTGAATGCAAGCTGTTGATGATAATTTGAAGTGCTGCAACATATCGCTCACCGGATAACGGTGGCATAAACCGCTCGTCTTGTCTTAGTGCCAAAGATGCAAGGAGCCACAGTTGACGAGTAACGCTGACGGAGTTAGAGACATCTCTTAATAAACACGCTTCTACATCTTACCTGTCAATAGCCTTCTGCATCTCTAGAGACAGTACGCTATTCCTTGATGTGGCACACATCGCTGTTATTATGATACTTCGATTCTATAGACTGCACTAATTTGTAAACGGTCGCACAGGATTCAGTTTGTATATTAATAAAATAAATGAATAGTTACAACCATCATTTATTGGCTATCGCGGTAGATCCAGTGTTGCGTTGGCACCTGGAATAATCCGCGGAGTGAGCGGTTAGATATTGCTTTATTATGAAGTAATCGCATCCCGGCCCGCTTTGCGGCTTACTCCTTAGTTCCACATGATTGGAACTTGCGGCTCGCAACTGCCAGACTTCCGCGCGTCGGATTACCTACAGCAGGATAGTAAGCTCTTTTTTTATAAAACGAGCGTTGATTGCACCATCCAGCGTAATTTACAAATAAAATGGAAATAAGTTGGCAAAAGGGGTGGTGAAAGAGTGACATTATTTACATCTGTATAACTGATAATTTGAGATGTGTCTGTATTGGGTTAGGGCACGGCAAGGTAGCGCCTTATCACCATTTGCGAGTCTGCTTTCAAGACTTGGACTCACCAAACGAGAGTCAGGACTAACATACTGTGGAACATTTATTGAGGGCATTAGCAAGTCAGGATAGATAGCAAATGCAGCCAGTAGACGTCAGCATTGTTGTGTCAGACCACGACCACGACCACGACCGCGACTACCGCCATGAACATGACGACAGGGATGAGTTCGAATTGAATGACGACGTACCAACAAACAACAGTACGAGCAGTAACAGCAGTAGTGGCATGAATGGCATGAATGGCATGAATGGCATTATCGACCATTTAACTGTGGAAACTGCTTATGATGAGATTGAATATTTTACCTATAGAGCACCGCGTGGGACATCAGGCAGTGAAAGCTCGTCTACCGACTCGGCATCATGTGCATCTGATTCGTTGATGGTTCAACACAGTCGGATACAGCATTCCGCTGACGAGGACAGCAATGAATATTATAACTCATATAATGTGGACGATTATATAGATGGCGAAGATGAATATTTCGAAGGTGATGATGGGTTGCTGGTTGACCAAGGCAATGGAATGATCCTGAAGAGCAATGATTCGGAGGAAGGGAGAAACGATACTGATTACTCTTACACAGTACAATGTGGATGGATTGTGCTATTTAGTACGTGGATAATTTTTGTGCTAGGTGTGGGTAGCATGTTTGGAGTTTGGAAATGGGTGTGGGTAAGTCATTGTGTTGGGTAGTTGAAAGGCTATATATGATACTGAACTTGCTTTAGGCACCCGCATTGGACGAAGGATCAAGTAATAGGTCACTAGGTGTCCTTGAGTCTGTGGGAATCATTGATGAAGTATCTGATTTTCCAATTGAAGAGTATTACCCGTCAATGATAATGTTATTATGTGTAGTAGCATGGATATGGTGTGTGGTCTCGTGGGTGGGCATGAAACTCTTTCGACACGCGAAAGGCGGTGTCTCATCTGACTCCGCGCCGCAAACTGCCGAGCACGGTACGGAGAGCCCTCGAGTATTCGACGAACGAGGTTAGGTCTGACTCTACGTGTAGCTTTTGGCATTTTATCGATTCAAATTTGGAATATCGGTTGTATCATATTTTCAATATTAGGCATTGGGGTGTATAATAGTAGTTTGTTGAGTGTATCGCTAAAACCTGCATATTTGACATCATATTAAACGACTCTGGTTTCTCACATAGTACTATACATATATATGAAACCACCTTATATCTTTTCTTTAGCCCTTTCCATTGCCATTTGAAGATAATTACGTAAGTCCTCTGTAGCAGCACCCAACCCAATGACTGTGAAGAAGTTGATCGCAAATCGCGTATCACTAGGGTTATCTCTAGGCAATATACCTCTGAATGCCGCCTGCTTATCCCGATCGGGATCATTAAACCTTTCCACGATCGTCTTTATGCCAGTTTCCTCAACCATATCTTGAAACAAAATCTTGAGAAAGATGCGAGATGAAGCAGTTGTTTCGTCTTCGTTTAAATGAACACAATCAAGTACTTCCCAATCTAAACCATCCGATGCCAAGATATGTGCAAAGAATTTGGCGATATTTCGAATCTTGTTGGTTTCGTACCTGTGAATAGTGTCGTAATATGTTTTGAAGGCTTCAGCGAATGTCGACTTCCAAAAGCGGTTCATCTTACAAAATCTCTCCCCGATAAGGCCGTAGAATTTCGAATATATCTTCTCTTGAGAGCAACACTCAATAATCATGTTGACCATCTCCACCTAAAGCTCATTAGACGATATATCATATAACAATCTACTATCAATTCTTACCTCTTGTCCCTGAGCTAAATTTATTCGCATCAGCTTATGGCAACATTCTTCAAAATCCATGCTCGATCGAATAGTAAGATAAATTGTCCGGCGGAGGTTAACAAGGTTCCTGTTCGTCATATCCTGGATTTCCATCTTCTTCTGTTCGCTTGGATTCTCCTCACCTTCGTCTTCCGAGCTGACTTCTGATTCATCAGAACCTTCTCCTTCATCGTCATCTGCACCTAAGATTTCCTCTCTAATATCTTTGTATTTCGCCTCATTTTCTTCATAGTCCGGATCAAACTTGAATACATTTAGTATATCTTCACCGTTAAGCTCGTCATCTAGTCCTATCATATGTGTTATCTGATCCTCCTCTTCAACAAGATCCAATTCCTCAGCGATATCTGGGTGATCCCTGTAGTCGTTCTTCCGAACTAAAAATAAGGACTCTATCATGTACTGTGTACGAGGCTCTAATTGGCCCTCGTGCAAGATTGCCCTGAATCTCTCGAAAACTCCATTATTAGCGGGAGCACTGGCCTTCGCCAGGAACATGCCGACCTCGCGCATGAAACCGACTGCAATCTCGACCGAATCGTCTGTGGGACGCTCGAGTAGCAAATGTAGGATCTGAAGAATGACAATCTCATGTGCAACTTGATAATTGCATACGTGCGCAAGGAACATAGTACTACTAATACACACAGGCTTGTCGTTTCTGCGATATGCTTTTCTGAACTGAATGATAAGTCGCGTAACTAATAGTTCTCCAATTTGAGGTAATTTTGTGTTCACGATTGCTACTACTGCGGCGTAGACGGGAGTAAATGGTAAACTCGCTGCTTGGGCTCTCATAATACTGCGTACAAACAGACCTCGACCTCGAATCAAGTTTTGCTTAAAGATGTCCTGTACAATCTCGCGGATATTAGCCTTGTTGACCTTGTTTATCAACCCGTTGATGCCCTTTTTAAGATTATCCCATTCTAGTCTTTGATGTTCTTTTGGATTGCCTTCTACAATCTGGCTCTGCAGAGCTCGCAAGCGAGCAGGCGGAACGTAAGTACCGCCGGAACGTAGATCTAACAAGCGTTGGTACTCCGCTTTCGGATCAAAGGGCTTAACTTCCTTCTCTTCACGTTCCGCGGCTTGGCGTTCCCGCTCGAGCGCTCTCTGATAATCAACATCAGGTAACGGACGACGTCTTCTAGCAGTTGCTGGCGATGCCGATTCGGCTTGGTCCGTCAATCGACGACGCCGCTTCGGCGGAGGTGACGGCGAACGCGATACTGAACGTGAATATGACCTTGATCGTGACCTGGAATATGATGGAGATCTCGAATACGACACTGAACGGGATCCAGAATATGATACCGAACGAGATCTGGTACGCGCGACCGCGCGACCTCGTTCTGGAGTCATAGAGCGACGGTCCGCCCTCAGCGACTTCTCGCGACGAATAGGATCTTCTACTGTCAAATCGTGTCCGTGACGATGAATACGAGGAGGCGACGGTGAACGTGCATAGCCTTCAGATAGCTGTCGGCGTCGACGGGGCGGAGTACTTTCTGAACCATTAATTGAAGACTCTCGCTCGACTTCTGGGATCTTGGGAAGGTCCGGGGGATCCGACCTCTCCGGACGAATAGCTAGACTGGGAACAATGACTGTCGAATCTGCCATTGCTATATTCCGGTAGATCAATGATTGGCGAAGTTGCAACGTCGTAAACGCTGCCAGTGCTGCCAGCTTTTACAGATTAAAAGTCGCTCATAAGTCTTCTACGACATTGCGCATTTATACCATTGCATACTCGTCGAAACTGACAGGTCCCTTATGCTTGTATGTAGCTCTAGTCTAGACATATCTGTATATATGGCATATATGTCTAATATATGCCGAATATGAACAAGGGCCTATTTTGTCGGACTACCAACCAATGTATTTTCTAGCCAATTTACATAATTAATTTCATCCCAAGTCGGAAATGCCAGAGAAAACCAGAAGAAATGTAATATTAACAAACCGGGCCAGACAGACTAAAGCGTACAAACCACAGCCACGAGTTACTGCTATGCGAGATGGAGTGAACCTTTATCATGAGGCGTCAAGTGATCCTTTTTGATCGCAAGCCAGTACTAGTTATTAGTTACAACTTACGGGAACAAAGCAGCAATAAATGTAAAATGTAAACAATAGGATAGTCGAATACAACGTGACACCCCATAATTGTGAAAGTGCTCACGTGATCAATTGTTTTTTCCGTTATGAACTAGATTTATTCGCTGTCCTTTACAGGCGTTAGTGGTTTAGCGGTAAAATTCGTCGTTGCCATCGACGAGCCCCCGGTTCGACTCCGGGCTGACGCATTATATAAATTTTTTTTTTATAAACTCCATTTAATAACGTTTAGGGTTCAGGGCTCTAGCTTCAAACGGATATATATATTGAATTCCAGATCAAATTTGCTGCAAAATGTGACTATAACCATGCTATTAAATACGGGAGACCAGCCGAAAGTTCAATTATATGCACTGATATGGAAATAAGCTAAGGAAAATGAATGATGAAAATTTCTGGAGCGATGGGCTCGCCCGCTATCTACCCACTCTCAACCAGCCTTTTATCCTACACCATATCGCGACCAGGCCTCAGAAGCAGTCGTTGACGGAAGATCCACAGAAGTGTAAGGAAAAAAAACTGAAAAAGCTGGTGTCAACACAATTATCGACTCATTTTCTTACGTTGACGTATGCCGGATTGCATGTGCTCGCGCTGGAGTTGTTGGTATACACAAACTCATCATCGGCAGACACGAACGGAACGGAGAAAGAACCGTTAACAACTATCTTCGTTTCCAAAGCAGACTCGTCCGGGTATTTCAATCCTAATCTAGAGGATGCTAAGCTAAATTTAGGAGACGTTGTTACGCAGATATTGAAGGTATTTATTAAGACTCTATCGCGTCCTAGAACGCCCACTCGGTTGTGTTTATTTGCACGTGCGCAGTCGCAATACATATTTCCTGAATCCGGGAGAAATAAACGGAAGCATGTGCTGTCAGATCGCGATCTCATAAAATGGTGGATCAGAGTTACCAGTCCTCTATTGTCATTATTCTCAGAATTGAAGAGCGCAAGATTGAGTGTTCCCGGTGCAGAGCAGGTCGAGGTCAAAAGCTTTTTAACACATGATTCCGAGACCAAGAACCTATTGTGGAAGGAGGGCCATATATTTTGCCTTGATGGCGATCGCGACAAGGAGCTGGCACTACGACATGTACCGAGCTTTCCCGACGATCCGAAGTCAAGGTTCTTGGACGTCTTGGTCGCTGACGGACGCGATGGGACTACTACAGTGAATCAGTTTTTCGCAGAATTGCAGATGCGGCAGGAATTTCTACTGGGATTTGTTGCTGCGATTATTGGAATTGAAGGGTTAGTTGACAAAAACGCAGAGGAGAAGACGAGCTTTGCATGTCCTCTTGTAGAGAATAAGTTGTACTCTAAGATCCATGATGCCATTGTTACATCAGATTATTCGACGGAGAAGTTGGCGAGAAATGCCACTACAAAATTCATTGAGGCTCTGCCAAAGTCATCCCAGCATATCATTCGTGGAACACAAGAGATCTCGAAAGCTGTGCCAGAAGGTGACGCGGATCGGAAGCAACCTGTTCAGCAGATTAATGTAATTGGAGGAGGGCTTGTTCGAAAACGCCATAAACCTGCGCATACAAGGACGATGTTAGCACAGCAGCAGTCTACATGCGCTCATAATGGCTCCGGTGAAAGTCAGCAAGCAACCAGGACGGATCAGACAGATTGCGGCTCGGAAGATACAAAAGCGTCAAAGAAGATGAAAGTTTAGTTTAGTTAGCCTTGCATGTTACATGGTGTCATATGGGGTAGAAGACTTCTATTTGGAAAATATATGTACGATAGCAATTGAGAGCAATCAGTGAGTAATCGACGCGTCCAGGCGGGTCTTGATTGCATGTGTAAGATATGTGATGACGCCGTGCGCTTCTGTCCCCACGACATTCATTTCAGCTTTCTGGCCTAGGAATAACATTCGCTGGAGCTCAAGTCTAGAGCAACGGTCAATAGTGTGTCTCTGTGCCCGCAACGAACAAGCATACCTCATTGCCATAGCTGCCTCCGTTTCCATCCACGGTAGACTCAGCATCTTAAGTGCCTTCTTCCGATCGCCTACCGATAGCTTCGTCCAGCCGTCTTCATATTCAAGCACATTTACTCCGACCCACTCCATCTTGAGAGCTGTCAGATGAGAATTCTCATGCGCCATGGCGCGGCTTCCGAATTTATATGTACACAGAATGTCGATACCATAAGGATCGGAGTCAACAACACCAAATAATGGTATATCGGGATGACATGCGGCAATGTTTGAGATGAATTGACGAGTAGTTAAGTCTGGATAGCCCTTTCCCTAAATATTCAAAAGTTAGGAAAACAAAAAGTTACAATAGGAATATATTTGGATACAGTAACCAGAATGCTTCGGCCGATATCTGCTCTGTTGTAAAATTTAGAGGAACAGAGGCTTCTGAATATAGCCTATATATCCGCAAGGCGTTAATACACATTTGGAAATCCGCAGGAGACTTTTAAACAAAGTAAACCTCTTTTTCGACCACGAGGACAAAGTCAACGTCCATCACATCGACAGACTTTATCTCCTCAAGTGGGGGTATCAGCTGTATCTGTCTGGCAGTCAGAATAGCCCATCTCACTCCGCAGCTCAATCTCTGTACTTCTCCCTCAACCGCTATGAGAGTGCAATCTCTCTTATGGATGCAAAACGTTCCACACGCCAATCCTTTTTGTGCCGCGACCTAAATACACAGAAAATTATTAATGCATGCCTATTCAAATCTCTCGGTATCCGTACAATCCCAAGTGCAGCACGAGGGACGTTCAGTGTTCGGCCGATATCATCCACAATCCTATCTACAATAGCTTGATTCCTAAAGAGCCAAGTCTCGCGGTAATATATGTCGCGCTTAGTAACCACTTTACCGCTCGTAAGCGACTCCGATATAATATCGAGTGTCCGCATTAAAACCGCTGAGTTGCATAGTCAGTACAACGCCAAGTAAATATCTAACAATAGTTGTGTGCAACCAAATCTCCACGAATTCAGAATAGTCGGACCAGGAAACGCTATAATGTTTTGTTTGGTATCTGCGACATCGCGAGTCGTGAGATGCAATGTTTCTTTGTCAAACCTGTATCATGGACTAAATACACTGCGATCATACTTCTCCTCGTGACTTACCTGGTTGATTCTGCAGCTCGGCGATTTGACAGTTTTATGGTCGCAAGGCCTGTATCTGCAACACCGGCAATGAGATCGGATATGAGGGTTTCAATTTTGCCCAATGTTTCTTCCCTATATTGTCGCTACCTCAGCATTTAGCGTTGTATTTTCCAGCATGAAAGCTACCTTGATTCTTCACTCCGATAATCTGTTAAGTGTGTCAGTACCCTCGTCAACTCAAAGAGCTCGCCAAGCAACGACTCATGTACCTAAATATTGTTCAACCACGTTGTCACCGTGTGCAACGCTCATGGCTGCAAGTATCAGATGAAACTGAGGATATGGGGAGCGTTATGTAAATAAATTCCGTCTACGCGAACTGACAGCGAACCAAAGGCGCGAACGCGGTTCTTCAACAAGTCTTTGGGTAAGGGCAGCAGAACCATAATCCCCTCTGATGTTTTTAAATCGGTACCTAACTGTAACACGCCCGCCTCTAGCATCGACTGCTCTAGTTGTATATTAATAGACTCATATAAATATTCCAGTATGAAAGACAATTTACAGGCCCCGATAGATCATGACCGACTAGAAAAATCGATTATAGACGGTGAGCTAGTGGACATGACATCAACAAATGCAACTACGACAAGGACTGTACCTGAAGTTTCAGCAATACCTAAAGAATTACTCGTTGGCAGAGATGCACAGAACGCTATACTTCCAGACAAGGCTTTTGTACGTTTTTCGTGGGAGTACTTAAAGGAGATAATAAGTCAGTTGAGTCTGTTACGTTGTTCCTCAGTAGTGCGATGCTGACCTCATATGAGCAGGAGAGAACAAGCTGGAATTGCTATGTCGCCTGCCTTCTGACTTGCGGAAGTATCTTGTTTGGAAGACGAAAGTTGTCAAGGAATATGGCAGTGTCGCGAATTTTGTGCTGTTTGAGCGACTGAAATGGGGCCCTGATGAGGAGCTCGCAAAACCTATAAGTACGGAGTTATTTGAGGTCAGAGGTATGTGACGAGCCATCGATACCTACTTTTCTCGTTTTGATCTTGATTGTACCACAAATTGGTTTATGGCTTTAACTTTATCGGTTATAAAAGCTAACAGAAGAGGACGATGGTCCAGACGACTATAGAATCCTGATGAACGATTTCCCATACGGGTTTGAAGACGGAATAATACATCTGGTTGTCTGGACCAAAAATCCTATTCCCAAAGCACAGACTGGATTTCTAACTGCCGACATAATTCCGGAAGTGCGACAGAAAATCCAGACCTTCGTGGATACAATTTGCGATAACTTGGGTATGGATAGTGAGGATATGCTTTGGTTTAAAAATTGGGCTGCACTGCAAAGTGTTAGCGAGATAGACCATTTTCATGTTTTGCTTAACAAGCCGCCTGTGGACGACCGCGGAGTTGAAAAGTTGCATTGGCTCTTGGTAGACGATGATGACATTCAGAAGAAGTGGGCTGCGGTGGATTCAAGGTTGCGATAGATTAGTGGCTGTTAGAACGTACAGTACAGGAATTTGTTATGTTTTGTTAGCATCGTCGGGGGGAAGACTCTAGTCCCAGCTAGGAAATAGATATGTTTTTTTATTTTACGCAGTCCGATCTGTCATTCTGAGCAAAAGGGTAAACACTGCAGGTAGCTGGTAGTTTCGACTGCTGTTGCTGCAGATTGCCATTCTTGAATTCGCAGATGCCGCCCTTAAATTCCCTGCGAATTTATGAGGAGCTAACCCAATTATCAGAGAAGAGGTAGAGGTAAATATGAATCAGTCGAAAGGGATTAAAGGACAGCTGATAACTGCCTGACCGTGCGGCTCGGCTAAACCGACGGTTGCACTGTTGGCAGATTTCGCCGATAATTGACAATTCGGCTTGCCAATCAAAGGTTCCAATTCACCTTATTACCGATCATCCACGTACGGGACCATCTTGGTACGTCACCGCTTCCCCTCCGCAAGACCTTTGCAATTGAATTGTATATAGTATTGTCACTTGCATTACGGTGGCGTCGCTATGACGAACTGATTTAAGGCTGCATGCAAGCTTGCCTTTATAATCCAAT